TCCCCTGGTCAGGCAACCGAGCACCGAAACGTGTGTACACAACTATTAACGAGTGTTACGCAAGCGATTGCAAGATATCTGATTTGAGGACTAAAGAATTACCCTTCGACCCAGCCGACGCAGCAGAGCGGATTGTACATAGATTTTGGGTCTCTGTCAACGGCGCCGGCGAGGGTCCAGACCACTACAGGTTGATCGGGTCAGTTTGAGCGAGTTCATTTGCCCTGGTCGATACAGGCCAGTTCCACCCTGACCAAGCAGGACGCCAAGTCCAGCTCAAGTAAGGCAGTCGTGGTCACCTCATGTTATCGATAGTCATATCTAATATTGTCAATCCATCTAACCTGTCCTGATCTTGTTGCAAGCGAGAGTTCCTTTCATCCCTTACCTTGTCCAGAGACGGCCCCAAAGTGAGGCGACAGTCTGCTGACCGGGCGAGAGTGAGGGTATGGAAGTCGGGCGCAAGAGTCTTGGCCTAGTTGGTACAGAGTACTTTGCATGAACATCTCTGCTCCTGCTGTTCATCCTCCTGGAACTTGTCCTGTCCAATCCAGTCGATGTTGTTTATAGCAGAGCAGGAGTTGGCCCCATCCGTTCGGAGCCGTCGAAGTGTTATAGCCACATGCACAAGCGATTGCCTTTCGGCAAGGAACTTTACCTCCAGTATAGTCCAACAGACCTCCAGTATAGTCCAACAGGAGCTGCAAGGCAACCAGATGCCAACACATCTCACACCACTACAGACTCCGGGCGGCAGCGTTTTGTGCCCGTGGAAGCAGAAGGGGGTAGAAGACGCACATCAACGCTCAGCAACGCAGACAGTTCCGAGCAATAGGCGAGTAAGCACTGTTGGAATTGCCGTGAGTTCAAGGGATTATGCGCGTCCCGGATACAGCTACTCTAGCCACAAGGTTGAATACGAGAAGGGGTTATGGATGTGGACTATACCATCATCAAGAGGCCGATGACAGACGGGAATGTCGCAAGGGTGCTAGTCACCGCTACACAGTACTGTAGACCGCATCTTGATGACCTCTCAGACACGACTCACAGTCGAGGTTGACATTGCGAGCTGGTGCGATCGCGGTTCGAGAGGCGCTCTCAGTATGCAGCCAGCGTCAGAGTACTAGATGTTTCTCCTTCGCTACGCTGTGACTGTCCTTCCCGTCCTTCCAATGTGCGACGGTATGTCAATGTCAGTCATGCAAGCCGGGCATCTGCTATTTGACATGAACCGCATACTCGATGCTTCTGCCGCACGCCTCTTCGTTCCACCCACTGGCAGTGATCAGGACTACAGACGCATCATCAGCACGCCAAGTTCGCTCCTCGTCAGCATCTCATTCGTTCCACGCCTGCGCCCGTTCAATTTCTCATGCTTGCCGCTACTGCATGTCTGGGGCAGGCGAGGCCATCCTCGCTGTGCCGTTCGGTTTGCTGTGGAAGATGAGCCTGGCTGCCGGGGCCACCGCTGTTTCAGCGCACAGATCTTGTCCTCTCACGGTCACCATTCTCTGAGCGCTCATCCCTACTCTCACATCCGTGCTCCGCGGTTCACGAACCACGAGTTGTTTCGCCCAAGCATGCCGCCCGAATGTGGCATGGGGCACATGTTCCCTGTCGATGAATTCGACCAATGCGGGTGCCCTGAGTCCGCAAGGCAACCGTCTCGCAGTTGACCGAGCACACATTCAGACCGGTCGGGGTTATCTTGACGCCCCCGCCTACGAAATCCTTCTCCCTTGCTGTGCACACGCATGCGAGCAAGGCGAGCCTGACCGATCCAATCGCCCATCGAGCACGAGCTGTCGTCCTCAACCTGGCGCCCACCGCTGGTGCTGCTTCGCGGGCTGCATATCATCGTTCTGACTCCCACTTGCGCCGCCCACCGAACTCACGTCCCTACTGACTTGCCTCATCATTGCTCCGCTTGTCAACTCGAACACCACGCATCCACACGAGATACAGACCGCGCCTGGCTTGTCCAGCTTCGCGCTTCGGCCCGCCACCATGGAACCACCGCCGCCTCCCGACCACCACTTCGCTCCAATAGACCCACACATAGAACCGTTGCACGACTTTGTTGAGGACCGCTTCGTCGACGACCATATACATTACGAAGAGCGCATACCGAATGTCCAACAGCGCCTGGATAGACTGTCGCTTGATGGCGACGTCCCCGAAACCCGACCCCGCGCTGAGCGTCTCAGATCCGCCGACACATTACCCCTCCCACAAGATTACCTGTACTACCGTTTGTCTAAGCGTGGCGATGATTGGAGCTCATGTGTCAAGAAGCCCATCCCGGCTCCCATCGACGAGATTGAGAGGAAGGCTAAGAGAAGTAAAGGCGGCGATGCGCCAATCCTGGAGCAACTGACCAAGATGCCGTCTCTGCGGCGCGACATGTTGGATGAAGTTGTGCGCAAGGCCAATGACAAAGAATCGGGCGATGCCTACTGGGAGGTGGTCTATATCAAGTCGAAAAGAGTACAGACAAGGAGAGGCAAGATGGAAGTGCCAGAAATGGATGTAATCCTGGCCAGGACCAGAGGCCGAGCCAAGTCCCGGACCAAGTCTTTCGCTAACAGTGGCGAGAGGGTCAAGAGAGAAGTCGTGAAAGAGAAGCAGTACATCAATGACAGCTATGGCCGGGCCAGGAAAGACTCGGTGATGGACAAGTTGGAGGATCCCGTCGCGAATCTTCCCGTTTTCGAAGCCGATGGCAGACCAAGGGACGATCTTGGACCGATACACTTCAACAACTCCAATCTGCCGCCTCACATCGCCAGGGAAATGCCGCTGGGCACCAAACTGGAAAAGAAAAAGGAGAAGGCGGAGAAGAGGAGGAGCAGGTCTCGAAGCAAGTCACGCGATCGTGGCGTTGTTCATCACGAAGACGGGGTCTTTGTGGTCCCTGATGTCCACGACTTTGCTGGAGAGAGCGCCGACCCAGCTACCGTCGATGGGATGCTCGGCGACGAGCCCATGGATCGTCGCGGTCGCCGAGGACAGTCGCCGCATGAACATCCAGTGGTGGTGGAGGAAGATCCTCGACGGTCCCACTCTCGCCACCGTCCCGACGGTCGCTCAAAGTCTCGTCCGCGCAAAGAGTCTGTTCACTTTCCTAACGGCCGTACTCGCCAGTACTTCGACGAAGGCGACGGCTCTTCCGAGAACAGTGATACCAGCCACTACGGCTTTGTTGGCGAGTACGAAAGCTCGACCACATCAATCAGCACGCCTGGCGCCATACCTCGCCGAGGGAGCCTTGCACGCGGAGGTCGCCCGGACGTTGAGTATAAGAAGCACCACCCCGGGCCTAACAGGAGACTGTCCTACCAAGAAAAGTCGTACCATGGTGAGCAGCACGTGATCCTGCCAGCCAGACCAGCGCGTCGAAACTCGAATGCCATCTATCACGATAGACCACCCGAGGGTCGCTATGAGCGTCCCTATTCTCGACTGGTCAGACGAGAGACTGCCCCTCCTATCCCAGAAGATCATCAAATTGTCTATCACGAGCCTCTGCCGCGAACCAGCGAGCGCGACCTTGTCCCACTCCGCCGTTCCTATACTGCTCGCGAGCCCATTCTGCATCATCACCCGCGAGACGACGAAGAACTCTACTACCGCGACGAGGTTGACCGCCAAAGCTACCGTGCCGAAGGCTACCAGCGCGATCGCGTCATTGAAGACCACTTCAACCGCCGCGAGCAAGAACTCAGCGCCCGAGAGAGGGAGTTGGAAATCAGAGAAGACGAGCTGAGACAGCTGAGACGGCAACGTGAACGCGAGCTTGACCGAGATCGTGAGTACTATGACGACAGAGATGTTCGAAAGGAGCGGAGAGAGTCGAGGCAAATCTTCTTTGACCCGAAGACCGGCCAGGCTTATTATTATAACGATTGATTGCCGATGACGGATTGGAGACGTGGTCTGGTTCCCGGGGATGACGCTATGGGGGTAAGGATAGTCCAGTGGGGAAATGAAGCCCAGGGGGTAAGAATGGTCCAGCAGGGAATGGTATTTGTGTCTGTGCAACTGAGAAAGTCCACGCGAGAAATGGCGAACAGTAACGGGATCATGGAAGAAAACCTCCCCGCGGCAACTCCGATGAATCAACCTTGGGCGGAGATTGGTTTCTACACTTTCCATTCGCTGCCGTATATCACGCTTTGAACGAAGACAGGGCCGCCAACAAACATGGAAAAGCGCGGGAGGGAAGGACGGGATTACTCGCGACATGCTGGAAACGCTGCATCGAGGTTTCATCCCGGGGATCTACTACACCCGATGGAGGCCCGGTGCCAAAAACGATCGCTTGCTCGCTGGACGGTGCAAAAACGTCTTTCTCTCGGGATGTTTTCTCACGGCCGGATCCATGATTGTGTTGTTGAAATTGGATGCTGGATGCTGGATTTGATGGATTTTGATGAATCTGGGAATTTCATGTCTGCTTCGTGCTGTTCGCTTTGGAGATACCCCTTGATTGATGTCGGTGAGATTGAAGTCCTGCTATATCATGAGATGAGACGACGGCTCAAGCGGAGACTGCTTGGGTTTCGTCCTGACATTATTCTGAGAAAGGCCATATATATGATCTTGGTGGCGCCTATCGTGGAGGAGGAAAGCATATAGTCCCCTTTTATAGGGCTAAATGAATGAACGAGGTGCTGTCCCTGTCCTTGTCCACGCCGAGCAATGTGCATGAGATGTATCATGAGGAAATGGACTCAAAAGGAGCTTATACATTAGAAAGTACTGCGATGGCGCGTGTCTTGTACAGTACTTTGAGCAATGCTAAAATGGACGGATGGAACTTCCTCGCTATATGCACTATATAGAATGACTGGCCCTGTATTTGCTATCCTCTTATTTATAAACCATTACTTACATCACTACTTAGAGTATACATTATTAGGCTATTATAGAAGGAGGTTATAGCTTACTATTAGAGCTTAATGTCTAACTGACTGACTAACTGACTGACTGTCTGGTTACACCCTCTTCCTCCTCGGCCGGGCATTCTTCTCCCTCCTCTTCTCTTTCAACCTCCTCTCCTTGACCATCTTGTCGATGGACCTCAATTCCCCCTTTCCTCCCTTGCCCTTGCCGTTCCTCGTCGGAGCGGTGGCGTTGCCCAGACCAGGGTTCTGATCCGCGCGATCCTTCGCGCCCTTCGCCTTGAGGACCTGCTTCTCGTAATCGCCCCTCAGCTTGTCTGGCGCTTTTGGCGCTCTCAACGTCCTGTGTTGGAACCGCTTGCCTCGCATGTTGCTGTGCCCACCTCCTGCTGCCATCCCACCGCCACTGGTGTTCTTCTCCTCTTCGCCCACCCTACCGATCCTGCCCACGCGGTTCGACTTCATCCACCGCTCGAACCGTCCACTGCGGAAACTGGCCGCGATCTTGGCGCCGGATTCGCCACGGACGAGTTTTCGGCCCTTGGACCCGTCGTCGTCGTTCTCCCTGCGCACGTACTTCTTGTGCCGCTTGTCCCAGCGCATGACCTGCCTGTTCTCGCCGAAGGTCTTGGACGATTCGTCCGCGCCGAGGTCCATGGTGGCCGAGCGGGCGGACTCGATGAAGTTCGACGTGTTGCTGCCGGTGTGCACGCCGTACGCGCGGTCCGAGGTCAGATCCTGCGTGGTCGGCAGGTAGGACATGTAGTTTGAGGGGTCGCGGAAGTTGGTGCCTTCAGGGCCCGAGCGGGACTTTGCTAACGACTGGGCATTAGATTTGGGCTTTTTGGCGTACGGCTCCGAGAATGTGACTTCGAGGTCGGTGGAGGAGGCTTCGGACATGGCGTCTGCGTCGGGGTGATGGCCGTCATCTTCGTCTTCGGATTCCCCATGCCAGTCCGGAACTGCCTGCGTAGAGGCTACGTCGTCCTCAGGGGCTGATCGTGCTTGCGCCGCGTCTGCAGCTTTTTGCTTCCTGTTCTCCAAGCCTGATCGGATCTGTCGGATCGCATCCACGGCTTCTTCGTTGTTCTTGCGACCTCCACGTCGCGCACCAATTTCAAAGATCGACTCTTGCGGTCGGAAGTTGCCCACTCGGGTCAGCATCTTCTCCCTCTCGACTTCCATGTCATCCTCCTGGTTGTTGAATAAAGGATGCAGCTCGGCCCACCCGGGAGAAGAGACGAGTTGTTTCGACCGCTTCGCACTCTCCGACGAGGCCGAGTTTCTGGTCCGTTGGTATAGTTTTTCGCCTTTTGATGCCACATTGCGCAGAGCGGAAAGGTCGGTGTCCGTTTCTAGCGCCTTTGTAGCCCACTCCGCACTCGTCTGATGGTCCTCACGTCGCAGACTCCCGACCACGATATCCTGGGCGAAATCCACGCTGCCACCGCCCGCCCTGCCGACCACCAATTTCCGGCCGAGGAAGAGTTGCAGATCAAGCAGATATGGCGCGTCGGCATCTCGTACAAGACTATAGCTCCACCCTTTCTGTCCGGCCCTTGCTGTGCGACCCACGCGATGGACAAAAATCTTCGGCTGAGAAGGGAAATCGTAGTTGATCACGTTGGCCAAGACAGGAATATCAATTCCGCGAGCCGCAACGTCGGTCACCACGAGGATGTTTGTCTGGCCTGTTCGAAAGTTGTGGACTTGTGATTTTCGAGCCGTTTGGTCGAGGGAGCCGTAGACGTAGGACACTGCGTACCCGGCTAGGAGGAGAAGGTTGGCGATATATTCGACGTGGTGTTTTGTGGCGGTGAACACTATGGTCGAGAAGGGGTTGGAGGAGGCTTTGTTTGTGCTGTCTGATGCTGTTTCTGCTTCTTGTCTTTTCCGCTTCTTGCCAGCTTTAGCTGTGCTCGTGGAGGTCTCGCTCGAGCTGACAAGCTGGGATCTCGTCGAAATCTTGATGATATCTTGAAGGATGTGTAGCAAAGCACCTTCTTTCTCCGATGATTTCAGGGTGAAGAATGCATTTTGCAAGTCCGGTGAGATCTTACTATCCGCATCCAGACGGACCAATACGGGATCTTGCAGCCCTGCCCTGGCAAATTCGACCAGTGACTTTGGGAGCGTGGCTGAGAAGAGCAGAGTCTGTCGCGAAGCCGGTAGAGCATGAAGAATCTCAGTCAGTTGAGCGGCGAACCCCATTTCGAACAGCCGGTCGGCCTCATCAAACACGGCATACCGGATACTTGACAAGTCCAAGTTCATTTCAACTTTCAGATGGAGGAACCTCCCCGGAGTGGCAATGATGATGTCTGGATTGTTCGCCATGGCAGAAAACTGCTCCTCCAGACTGTCACCACCGACGAGCAGAATAGAGCGTAGATCGGTGCCTCTGCCGAGTTCTTTGACCACCTGCAATGTCTGCAAAGCCAGTTCTCTTGATGGCGACAGGATCAGAGCCCTTCCTCCGACTTTCGTGCTGTGAACCTTCAACTTCTCGATCATGGGTATCACGAAAGCGGCGGTCTTGCCAGAACCCGTTCTCGCCATGCCCACCACGTCCTTGTCATTGAGCAGCAAAGGGATCGTCTTGCGCTGGATCGGTGTAGGGACCGAGAAGCCTTTCCTCGTTATAGCCTTGAGCAGATTGGCATTGAGGCCCATAGCTTGGAAGCCACCGCCTTTTTTCACGGTCCGTCCTTTTAAATTTGTGGCCTTCCGGTTTGAGGCGGCTTGTTGGGCGGCGATGATGGCTTCGTCGTCAGTGCCGGACACGTCTGCCATGACATCCAGATCATGTCCTTGAAGCTGGCCATTTCGGTCGTCTGCGCTGCCATCATCTCCTCCAAACAGTGCGCTGCCGATATCGAGTTCATTCTCGGAGCGGGCAGGTGAGCCCGACCGGAAGCTCATATTGTGAGATGGAGGACCGACTTCTCGCGCATTGGCATAGAATCCCTGGCTTCTGTAAGATTCGTGCCAGGCCTCTAAGTCGGTTTAGAACTGACCTTTTGCCTGCGTACCAGGAAGATCCAAAAATTTATTGAACCTTGCGTTTCGCAGTCACCGTGCTCTGCTATAGCGGGACACTTGTACGGTCGAGTAAGCGGCCAATTTGGGAAAATCGCTTTACGCGCGACGCGTCGGATCTGTGTTTAGAATTTTGGCCATAACGCCCACTATCGCAGTCCTCACGATCCGCTCGCCACCATCACCACCACCACTACCACCACCACCACAATGAGTATGTATTCCAGCTCGCGAGAGAAACAATATCCGCTGATAATGTCAGACTACGGCTACGAGAACAACCAGTATACGACCTCGTACGGCGCCGCCGGATGGGCAGACGGAGGCGGATTCGTGGCGGGGGAACCACAAAGCAGTCCTGCTCAAGGGAGAGTGAGTGACCCTCAAGATACGCTAGCTAACACCGACTCTCCCCATCGTTCTGCATAAAAATGTGCTATGCTAACGAAAGTAGGGCGGCTATGGCAAAGACACGGTCCGGCCCATGACCATCAAACAGATCCTCGACGCCCAACAACCGCACCCGGACGCTGATTTCAAAAGTGACGGCGAAGCATTCAATCAGGTGTGTTGTCATGCGCCTTCATTACTTTCATCTATCTCCCTTCCACCTCCGCACGCAATTCCACATGCACCCGAACCCAACGCTGACCCTCCCTCACGCAGGTAACATTTGTAGGCCAAATCCGCAGCATCTCGACCCAACCCACGAACATCACGTACAAGATCGACGACGGCACCGGCCTCATCGAAGCCAAGCAATGGATTGACGTCAACTCTGCAGATTCCGAGTCGTCGAAGATGGACCTCGACAACAGCAACAAGCCGAAACTTGTCGAGGATGGCTACTGCCGCGTCTGGGGCCGGCTCAAGGCCTTCAACAACAAGAGACACGTCGGCGCGCACATCATCCGGCCCATAACGGACTACAACGAGATTCACTACCACCTCCTCGAAGCGACGGCCGTGCATTTGTTCTTCACGCGCGGACCCCCGTCGAGCCTCGACGGCAATGCCCAGGCGAATGGCCACGGAAATGCCAACCACGCCGCTGGGGGTACTGGTGGTGGTGGTGCTGGTGGCGCGACCGCCGACGCCCATCTAAGCCACATCTCGCCCTTGGGACGACGCATCCTGGCCACGCTGAAGAACACGCCGCAGTCGAACGAGGGGCTGCACGTCCAGATGATCGCGAGCCACATGGGCGTGTCGACGAACGATGTGTACAAGGGGGCAGAGGAGCTGGTGGCCGCGGGGGTCATTTTCACGACCGTGGACGATCATACATGGGCGGTGTTGGATGGATAGGTAGGGGATGACATGAGGCGGAAGACTCGATTGGCGAGGGAGGCCGAATGAGTGAGTTTGAACGTGGCCATACGAACGCACAGTCACATCACGATCATGATCCGATCGTAATCTGAGCCGAGTCTGGCTGGATCGCCCACGGCGCGAGAGGGCCAGACCAAGGACGAGTATGGCTTGCGATGAAACCCTGAAGGTCCAAAGCCTGATGTTTGAACAGAGGATCAAGTAGGGAGTGTGAGCGGTGAGCGCGAGCAGTGGGAGTGAGCAGCGAACTGGGAGGGTTCTCATACCTTGACACGCTTGTCTCGCCTGACTCACTACTAGTAGACTTGCATCCTACGAGCATGTATGTACATTACGACGCAACGAGACGAGACATCACATCACACCAAGTCACATTATATAATACAGTACCGTCCTAGATAATTTCAACTGAGCGAGCCGAGCAGTGAGTGAGTACGTGACTGGGTGAGTGAGTACGTGACTGGGTGAATGAGTACGTGACTGGGTGAGTGAGTACGTGACTGGGTGAGTGAGTGATCTGTCCGGTATTCGCGCAAGGACAGGCGAGGAAGGATTATAATTAATCGATCCCAGCGTGGGATGTCTACGCCTGCATTGATTGACGAAGATAAGCCTCAAACACTAAATAATTAGGTCGCCCTTGCCGTACTCCGTACTGTATAAGTGATGATAGAGTGCTTGATATGTGATGATTATAACGGCACGGCGTGAAGTGACACACACACACACACACACACACACACACACACACACACACACACACACACACACACACACACACACACACACACACACACAGTACTCCGTATGGCACGTTAAGGACACGCCACAGCACAGCACGAGATGGAGAGGAACCAGATACAGTAATGCGATTCCCAAATCTGGCCTGCCCTACCCTACGCTGCCTCTATCCCCCCTGAACCTATCATAACACAACATAATATAACATAACGTACAGTCTATACTAGGAAGGTAACTGGCATCCATCCAATGCTCAACCAAATATAGCCAGTCAAGTTCCCAAGTCGTCTATTCCCCAATGGCCTGAATGTATCGCCGTGTATCCAGAAGGCCGACCAACTACATAAGGTACATAGATATTGAAACGACACAAACAATACGACACCTAACTACACCTCTGCACCTCCACACCTCTACACCCCTACACCAGATATACACCCATCTCCCTGTCCGGACTCGTACCCACACCTCCGTTTACGGAAATGCTGTACAGTACGTCGGCACATGCAGTACAGCACAATATGTACTCGGTGCATGTAGTGAGTGCTTCGAGTCTCATCGGAGTGCACGATTTCGCCTGGCCCAGCCCCGTTCCGCGTCATTGTCATTATATCCAACATCGGAATCTGTGTCGTCGTCTTCGTCATCGTCATCGTCATTCTCACTGCTACTAACTTCAAACGGCTCGGCGCGGTCAAAGTCGCGTCTCTGCCGTCTTCTGCTCCGATCTGATGAGGATGTAGATCCCAAACCATGTGGGGGAAGGTGTTTCATGGACACAGCGCTGCGGGAGTATACGTCGGCGTGAGAACCCGGTTGGTGCTGCTGATGCTGGTGCTGGGTCTCTTCTTGTCCGTCATAGCCGTATTGGTATTGCGACCTCCGATCTCTGTCCTGCTCGTAGCCGGCATGGCCATTCGCGCTCTCATTTCGACCCTGGTCCATCATGGCGGCCAACCGGCGGTCTTTCCTCTTCGCAATCTCCTCCTGCGCCGCCATCCACTTGGGACTCACCTCCCAACGCCAGCCATCGCCTGTGGTGTTGCAGATAGGCAGGGCCCAGAGCAGCGGATTGGGGCCGAAGAGATGGTTGAGATTCCGACGCCAGCCCAGGTCAAACGCATTAGGCATGTCCTCGGAGTCTTTGTCGTCAAGGTACTCCGCGTAACGGTCGCGCTCGCGCTCGGCTTCCAAGTGGGAGTATGTTCTCCGTAGGGCGCGGAGGGCGGGCGTGTCGCCAGACGGGTCGGGATGTTGTGGCCGGGGGAAATGGCGGCTGTTGGAGTCATACACGCTCGGAACTGGCGAGGTATGTTCTTCGCCTTCCTCATAACGCGACGCACCTGGAACGGCATTGGCATTCCATTCGAGGAATTGCTCGCCCGCGCGCTGCAATCGCCCAGCAACCCCCTCGGAGCCCTCTCGGCGATGGTTCAATTGCTGGTCCTGGCGATTTCGTTCGACCTGCGCTCTGACGCCGCTGAGGTATCGCGTCTTCTCCAGCTTTTCGATCGTCGTCTGCCCTTTCCAGCAGAGGTAGATGTGCCATCCGGTAAAGGCCGTCAAGACCAGCCCGATGATGCCGGCAATGACGGACAGCAGGATGATGTTGACGGGCGCGATCTCGTCCAAGTAGCCGCTCTGCTCAAACAGTTCCTTCCACATCCACCACGCCGCGTTGGCAAAACATACCCAACAGAACAGTGACGTGTATATCAAGAAGAGCACAAAGGCCTTGTAGTTGTGGAGCCCCAGACAGGTGGAGAGCCAGGGACAATGATGGTCCATCTTCAGCACGCATCTCTTGCATGTCGAGCAGTGGTGTGTCCGGTCCGGTTTGGACACATGGCACTTCTTGCAGAAACGGGGTGCCCCCGTCGAGGAGACGGTCACGGCCTGATACTGGCTGGGGTCGGCGGCCGGTTCGTGCGTTGGGAGCACCGAGTATCGACCGCGTCCTTTCGATGAGGCCTCTGCCGGCGGTTTCAGCGGCGAGCCTGGATCGGTAAACGCCGCGACCGTGTATGACCAGTTGGCCAGACAGTAGAGTGTGACCCCCAGAAGCGAGATGGCCTGTATGAGCCACCACACATGTTTTGACCGGTGGCTACCGAAGCCTATGGACGCCACCACCCACACGGCCCAGGTTGTGATGCTGTAGACAAATGCAAGCGGGAAGTACGTGGCTACCGTGCAACAGCCACGCTCGCATCTTTGGGCGCATGACTGTCGTCGCCGGCGGCCGGGAGTCGGAGGAGGCGAGGAGGAGGGAGTTGAGTAGCTGGGCATGGAGGGAGGAGGATGAGATGGGTACGGGCGAGCGTCGCTGGACGGAGGGTGTCGAATTAGTCAGGCGGTCGGGTCGAATGCTGTCGAGCGCATATCATCTCGAAAGGGTTGATTGCATGGTTTCGGTAGGAGTAAACAGGCGACCGCTAGGGCGGAGACTTGACGGACAAAGAGACTCGGCGTTAGCGACAGAGATGGCAGGGCAGTAATACAGGCCGTAAAGAATAAGACTTGTTGTTGATGCAGTACAAGTACAAATTAGAGCATAAGTCGAGACTGCAATGCGTGTGTTGCATAAATCTGAAACGAGTGTTCGATGGAGTTGGCAAGTGACAAGTGACAGAGTGACGAGTGCCGAATGACGTTGCTCAGCGCCCATCTGCTCGTTGTCTGGACTTCGCGAGGCCTCGTCAGGCTTCCACCAAAGGCTTCCTCCGGGCGGCACATCGCAGCAGTTACAGTACGGAGCACAAAAGTATTCATAGTGGAAGATAGACGTGGCTTCAGAGTGGAGTGTGTATATTCCTAAGCTAAAGGAGCGTGATAGTTCTCCGTGGCCGGTGCCTCTCAACGAGCGTACAATAGTTGGATATTCGGCATAAGTATTGGACTCGTCCTTCCCTCACCCATCGGTCCTCCGCCACCATCCACCATCAGCCAGACTTGACCGGCGCGGTACCGACATTCTCCCTTTCCTTCTCCTTCTGCTTGCCCACTGGCTCGCGCACCATGACATCCATTCTCAGCTCCTTGCCGGCCGCCCGTTTCAAGTAAATTTGCTTTCGCAGCTCGAAGCCCAGCTTGCCGTAGATGATGATGTTGATGTCATGGGAGCTCTCCAGGTAGCACGGAAGTCCTTCAGCATCAGCCTATACAGATTACAGATTAGCATGTAGCCATCATCGTAGGGAACCGAATCAGCCACGCATACCATCTTCGTGACATGTTCAATCAATTTCCTAGCATATCCGCGGCCACGCGCCTCGGATTTCGTGCCAATGTAGCTGAGATACCACGAGTTGTTGTCCCGGTCGCCCAAGATCTCCTGTTTGCTATGGTGCAGCAGGGGCAGGAACTCATCGAAGAAGCGGACCCTCCCCTCCTTGGACAGCTTCCAGCTCAAGCGCCACATACCGCTCCGGAGGATGGTGAGCCAGTCGTCGATGTTCTTGCCCGGGGGCAACCACATGGCCACACAGTCAAAGTTGTCGCCCGTCGTCAGAACCAGTCCCTGGAGACAGTGCGCGTAGGTGACGTACTCCATGGCGGATTTGTGCATCTCGAACCGTTGTTCCTCGCTCAGGTGCATTCGGTCGGGCGTGTCGATCGCATAGCGCACGATGTCGTCCAGGCGGAACGCTTCGGCCAGACAGGCAGCGGCCTCTTTGTACTCGTGTGGAGCGACGACGCGGACGCCGCCGTCCTGGGTCGGAGCCGTCGAGAGAGCGACTTTGGTGGCGGTCGAGGGCGATTTCTCGTGAACGATCGCGGCATCCAACATGGGAGCGGCAACACTAGGAAGAGCCATGCTGGGTGGTTTGGTATTTAGCAGCTTCTAGTTTCTTTTCTTTTTTTGATCTTTGTCCTTGGTCTTGCCCTTAGTTGAAAGGTCAAACATGTTCGGTCAACCTACTGTTTGGTATAGCTCAACCTCGATCAATGGGTCTTGTCAGAATGCCCGTATGCTCCGAACAGAGCTGGGCGGTAGAGACAGTGTCGCTTCTAAATGGGAAGCGTAGGCTAGGACAGGAAGTACGTATATCAACCGACATCAGCGTACGATCCGTCTTGGGTCTGGACTTGGGAGAAGGAGAAGGAGTAACGGGTGGCCAGAGGTGCGATGTAACTTCAGCGGGTTGATCTGTTCCGCCGGTAACGGGCTTGTGTTCTGTGGCACGTCTGGTAGGAGTGAGTACCGCGACGGGGAACCTTGCACGGACTTGTTAGCTTCAAGGGTCAGGACAGGGTAGCTGATCTGTCGACGACGACAATCCAGCGATCTTGTACAAGGCCTTGAGGCTGGCACGAGTAAGCAAAGCAAAGCGGAAGAAGAGCGGAGGGCAGTGGTTAGGCAGGGGGACGAAGCTTTTATCAACCTGCCTGTCAAACGGAGATATGAACCCGGTGCCACTCGGTGGTGCTCTCACAGGAAAGAAGCTATGGGTAAGGGTAGGACGGATGCGGTTGACGACGCAAGCCCGGTCAGCACCAGGCGCAATCAGATGATTCGAATGATAGAGAATCCCCACGCTATTGACCGCAACTGGCTTCACATCAGCAAAGTGGATATGACGGGCCGGTGACTGGCAGATGAAGATTCCCTGATTTTCGGAGGACGGCGGCGTCGAAGGTCTCTCAGATAACGAGCATCAGCTCCACTCCTGCGAGCAAAGAGCTGTGAAATGGAAAGGGTCACGGGGTCGCGCTTCGACATGCTTGATGAGGTTTAGAAGAGACCATGGTTGCAGGCGGAAGTGAGGCGAGACGACGGGGATGAGAAGGACGAGACGAATCATTGGTTCCACCGCCACGTTCCCTGCACATCCGAACACGACGGTCAAGTTGGGCAATCGTGGGGTGCAGATACGCGGCGATATCAAGTGACTTTCACACCGACTTCAGAAGTCGTTTACGCTGTGTTTTGCGAACATGCTGAGAAGAGCTAGATTCTGTCCTGTTACTGTGATCCCTCTGAGAAGAGCGTAATTACTCTAAAAAGAGTGTAATCCCTCTTAGAAGAGCGTGATCCCTCTGAAAAGAACGTTATCCTTTGCTGAGAAGAGCGTGATCCCTCACTGAGTAGAGCTTTATTCCGCATTGAGCGGTCCCCGTCTTACTTATACAGTTATGATTCCAACTAAGCTCCCGCCGAGACAGACTCTTCCATATCAATCGGCCTTCACTGCTTCCACCGCCGTCGGCGCGCCGCCCTCCTCATCCTTCTTCTCGACCTTGTTTGCCTTCAACGTCTTCCACTCCATGCCCAGAGCGCCGAAGATCGAGGCACAGGAGAACGCCAGTGCGACGTAAAAGACAATCACCAGCGCGTGGTTGTACACTCTCAAGACCTCCGGTAACTGTTGCGGAGTGAATGCCTTCCTCAACTCGGTAGCCCCCGTGCTGACGATGTCGTGTGCGGTGATGTTGCCGATGCCTCTGAGTCCCGAGACAAGCTTGTTGTCAAGGATGTTCTGGGCCAGGGACACGGAGATGGTGCCGCCCAGGCCCTGGCAAAAGAACACCAGCGACACGCCCGTCGGAGCATCTTTCTTCTCCAGCACCGCTTGCGCGGCGATATTGGTTTGTTGGAGGCCGACCCCGACGCCGAACCCGAACAATACTTGCACGCCGATCCACATCGGGTGCGCCGTGTCGACCCTGAAGAGCGTGAACAGCCCGCTACCGATCGGGCCGAGAATCGCCCCCGCCAGGATCGATGGGTTGTAGTAGCCGATTTTGCTGACGAACGCCCCCGAGAGGATCGACGCGACGACCAGCGAGAGAATGAAGGGCAATGTAGAGTATCCTGACTTGATCGCCGAATCACCTTTGATAGCCTGGAACCATATCGACAAGTAGTAGACCGTGATCATGAATGCGGATCCGAGACAGAACGAGTAGCAGCCCCCGGACGCGATGGTGCGTTGCTTGGCGATCCGTGGCGGCACAGTGGCGGATTCCTGCCTCACGATCTGAATCACGATGAAGACGACGAGGAGGACGCCGAACAGGACGAAAAGGGCGATGACGCGCCCGTTGGACCATGCATACTGCTGGCCACCCCATTGTAAGGCCAGGAGCAGACAGACAATGCACGGGATGAACACGAGCGTGCCGGGGATGTCGATTCGCGAGAGCTTCTCTCGGAACGGAAGCTCGCCGAGCGCGGGTGGGACGTCAGCGACGGCGAAGTAGAGGAAGGCAAGTACTATCGCGCCGATGGGGAGGTTGATGTAAAAACACCACCTGAAGACCACGTTAGATTTCACGAGAGTCAGCGTCCTGCCAATAAAAGGAGGCTTACCGCCATGTGACCTTTGTCGTGAACACTCCTCTGTATTCTTGTTAGCATCGAGCACGGACGGCGCGAGCAGACGCTTCACGGTCGCCTTTTCAAGGCAGACTTACCCCAGCAGAGGGCCAGCCACCGAAGCCACCCCGAAGACGGCACCCAGAAGCCCCATATAGAGAGGTCTCTTCTGAAGCGGCGCAACATACATCATCAGAATCATCGAGCCGTTGAACAACCCTCCAGCGCCCAAGCCAGCCACGGCGCGTCCCCAGATGAAGGCAACCGAGTTGGGCGCCGCGCCGCATATCGCCGAGCCGATTTCGAAGATGAAGACCTCGCCGATGAAGATCCATTTGGGCGAGTAGAAGGTGTACAGACGGCCGAAGAACAGCTGAAGGGCCGTGGTGGGGAGCAGGAAGGCGGCATTGTACTGTCAGATCACCGCGGGCGAAGTGTCAGCGGTCTGGATCCTGGCTGATGGGGGCAACGAAATAAACAACAGGTGGTTGTTGGACCTACCCAGCCCACGTCGCCGAAGCTTTGGAATTTGTCCGTGATCTGAGGAAGGGCGGTGGCGATGATGGTTCTGTCCAGCGCGACCAGGAACACAGAGAGGTAGATGCTCAGCAAGACCACCGCCAATTTGAGGCCAGTCGGGTAGTTTTCGATCTTGCTCGTGGTCTTCTCGAGGGCACTCCCTTCGTCTGCATTCGACCTGTCGTGTTCTGGCGGCGAAGACGGTCGGCGTGACGAGGCACGCGAACTGGCCCCCTCGCCGACTTCATCGGCTGTCTTCTCTTCTACCATTTCTGTCTCTCGTGTGGTCGTCATCGTCGCAGCCGTCTGTGTTTAGCCTGAGGCACGTCCATGACGGGGATGGCTTCAGGCCATCTTCAAGCAAGGCGCCAGGATACAGCAGATATAGGGAGCCCCCGAAATTGGCCGGAATGCGACACACATTTTGCGCAGGGTCGCCACCGATGCAGCTATCCGGGGTTAGAACGCGCCGTACTCGTATCGCCGCAAACTGATCTGATTCCATCTTCGCGCCGCTGCTAGACGCGGTAAATCCACCAAGTTATCCCCTCAACTGGAGCAAATTTAGGTGCGCTCGGGCCCGAACAAGCACAAGCATCCGAATTCAGGTGTCAGCCGAGATTTAGCGGGCAACAATTGGTTCTAGGCGCCACTAACAAGCATCCTAAGCACCCGGACCAACCTTAAAGTTTAAAGGGTCCTTGGCTGCGTAGCAGCCTGAATGCCTAATTAACAAGGACTCCATGCCAGAGCATACCGGTCTCGAGTACTGCGTACGAGTACGAGGTACATGTACTCCCCTCATACTCCGTACTTAACAAGTCGTTCCCATATCCCTCGTAGCCGCTCGTCAGAGATTGCGAAACGTTTCTCATTCCAGCGAAATTGCTTCGATTGTGATCAGCTAGCTAAATCGCACAATCCAAGTGATTGATCACTCGGTCCTTCAGCATGCACTCATACCATCGTGGCCGACAAGTCGGCTGCGCACCTTGCCTCTCACACTCTTGAGGTCCACTCCTCACTTAGTTTCGACATGCACGGCCTCAATGTCACCCTTGGCAGCCTTGGACGCAACGCCGATATCCTGGACACCGCTGAAGTCGGTCATGCCGAACAACTCGTCCATACGCTCGAGAGAGAGACCCTTGGTCTCCGGCACGAGGAAGAACGCCCCGATGGCAATGGTGAAGCAGAAGGAGCCGTAAATGAAGTAAGTGCCGTACCCGCTGGGACCTCCCACGGTGACCAGCATGACAGGGGTGGCGCGCGCGACGGCCAGATTGAAAACCCACTGCGTCGCGGCCGCATACGACACGATCAACCCCCGGAGTCGCTGCGTAGAGATCTCGGAGCTGTAAATCCAGCACACGGGGCCCCAGCCGAACTGGAAGGCGGCCGCGAAGAGGTACACCATCACCAGTGCGCCGTATCCCGCGCCCGAGATCGGCGCGCCTTTCTGGGGGGCATCGAACCGGACGAAGAAGCCGAGGTAGAACATGCAGAACCACATGAAAAATCCGGTCCAGACCAGCGACCATCTTCGACCGAGCGTGTCGGCGAGGAAAAGAATGAAGATACCGCAGGAGGCCATCTTGACAATGCCGTACACTCCGGTGGCAAAGAGCGATTGCGTGTTTCCCGTAACACCGAGATTGGTGAAGATGGTGGGAGCGTAGTAGTTCTGTATAGTTCAATTGTTAGCCATGGACTCGAAAGCGGATTCTTCACGGCCCTCGTGGGATACTCACGATAGCGTTGGTACCGGTCCATTGTTGGGCACACATCAGTCCAATTGCCATGATCGACCGTCGGCGGTTGCCAGGGATCGTCCACGCCTCTTTCGTCAACGCCCAGTAGCTGTTACCACCGGCACGGCCTCGCTCAGCTTCAAGTTGTGTCTGCATTTCCAGGAGCTCGGCTTGGACATAAGGGTGAGTTGGCGGTAGGTTTCGGACTTTGGAAAGAATTCTCGAAGCATCATCCCAGTTGTCCTGGGACGCGAGCCAGCGGGGACTTTCGGGACAAAACAAGATGGCCGTGAAGAGGAGGAACGGTGGAAGGGATTGCATCGACAGGGGCACAATCCAAGTGGCATGGCCCTTCAAGTGTAGAAGACTGCCATAATTGATGAAGAAGGCGATCATGGCGCCCATTGTTTCGAACAATTGGTAGAACCCGACAAGCAGGCCTCGAATACCACGGGGAGCATTTTCGGCGACGTAGGTGGGCGCAACCATGGTGGCTCCTCCGAGACCCAAACCTTCCACGAATCTAGCATTGTTAGACAGGTTCATGGGGATAACTCATGTACCAATCTCGACGTACCGTCCAACATAAAAGCACGAGATGTGGCCGTACGAGAGTGCTTGGAGAAGGCCGCCGATGAAAGCAAATGTGGCGACAACGTAGATTGTGATCTTTCGTCCCTTCCAATCGGCCAGAGGATTGGCGGCAAGGGCGCCAACAATGGCACCGGCTTGCATGACGGACACCAAGTTGGCCGAAAGGTTAGACTGCGCGATCTTGGACTTTTCTGTGAGACCGAACTCGCTGATAGCAGGTCAGACCCTCCGGATTCACATCGTTTGCCGGGGAATACCTCTTACTCTTTGAAGTCAGGCAACGTCAACACTCCGCCAATGATGCCGATATCCATTCCGAAGAGGGTTCCTCCAAAGCAAGCCTGGAGCAAGTCAGCATACTGTCTAGCCCTTCAGCCAAGGTGCAAACGTACTGCCGCTGCCAAAGCAAAGACCCTCCAGTTGTAGACCTCTGGAGGGTCAAGCTTGACGGCATCATTGTGCACGACTTTTCTGAGGAACGACATGGCGACCAATCGCGTTCGGGCGTCTGAACAGCTGGACGAGGTGAGCGAGTCGAGGCTGGAGAACGGATCTCATGCGAGGGGAGGAGGAAGAGAGGTAAATAAAGGGACTCTTCGACCGGTGTTCTCACGCGAGGCCACATGCTCAACCAGGATCTGATGCAGCTAACGGTGACGGTGTTGATTCTGCCGTGGAAGCGGAACCCCAGCTCTGTGGGGAGGAGACTGGAGAGTCCATGACCATGGGACTGAATCACGGAGGACCGTGCCGTTCGTGTACAAGACTGGCTGGTAGAAAGGACGACGGGCGGACATTTGCCAGATGGCGAATAGGTCTGCGGCTTCGTCGCCACTTAGCACAAGCACCAGCCTAGATGTAGACAAGATGCGCAAGCCTTGGATAAGCATTGCAGCACGAATCGCCAAAAAGCTGGGCTTGCTGCAACGCTTGGTTGGCACCCAGCAGTCTGAGAGTGAGCGGAAGGTGACACTCGCCTGCGGGGATGGGTGTGACATTCTCCAAGGGAAGTTGGCGTTTTCAGCCTGAATGGGCTCCCTAATTTGCAAATTGGGAAGCTGGTGGAATCATGGAGGCGGAGTGGAAGCCTCCTCGACTCCCACCACTCGAAATGCGGAGAAGCGCAGACAATGGCTGAGGTTGACACTCCACCTGGGGTACGGAGCGACGGCACTCCTTTCCGCAGATCGTGGGTAAAATCATTTATGGATAAAAGACAGGCTGGAGAAGGTTGAGAGCAGAGGCCGACCCCGATTCACCCCCGTCGGCACAATCGTTCTCGTCATCTACCGCATCCAATCACATGGCTCTTGACCTATGCATCGAAGAGCAACCGGCAACTGAGAGGCCAGGGAGACCTGAGGTGATTGGCACTGGGCACTGCCGTGTCGCAAGCTAGTGCAAGTGGATGTGAAAGCTGAAGGCCATCAAATACCGAGTCGGCAAACACACCGAAGGGCGAGGCTGCACTACTGAGAGTCGACCAACGCCTCAACGACTTGCAAGTGGCTCGTCGCAGTTAAAGTGTAGCAGCAAATCAGCCTGCACCGCCAAGATGCTGGACATTAGTTGATACCACACCCGCATGGTTACTGGTAAGACCTTGGCAGTGAACATGGGAGTCGCAGACATCGACAGAAGTTACTGTATGAGTCAGGAAGCGAAACCCTTTTTCTGTGTGTCATCCTTCGCACTCACAAAGAGAGGCGAGACGTTCGCTCAAGCCATTCTGCTCTTCATCCAGCCTGGGATATCTGGCCTCCGCTGCCAGCCGTCTTGCCATCTCGTCTGATAGTCCGTAACACTGGCTGGGATGGCGAACACCGCCGTTGTGAGCCAGATGTCTGCATCCTTTGGCACGTCCATTGCCAAGCTGGGCAGCACGGATCTGCTTTCCACAAGGTTGCTGTTGGCGTCTTCGTCCAGCACTCGGCCAACGCGCGCGGGCTGCGCTAGCTCGACGATACCGACAGCACCACCTCGGGTCACGGCAATCGCTTCCCCGTTGCTCTCCTGCCTCCCTTCGCTCTTCTCCTCATTCATCGTCTGAAGCTCCCGCTCGTCCTTGGTAGCAACACCATTGAGAGCGAATGCACCTTCGCTTGTCTTGAGGTTCCTGCCGCCGCTTGTGATACGATGTAGGCGCAGATGCCAGTTCGGCGTGGCTTCTGACGGGGGGATCAGATAGGTCTCGACCACCACATCGGACCATGGCTTCCACTCCGATACCAGGACCGGTGTACCCTCGATTGTCTCCAGCCGTGCGTTTAGAGGCTTCTTCCGCACCTTCCAGGTCTCCCCTGCATCGTCCGACAGTGCGAGCACGTTGTCGCCACCGATGGCTTCAACAAAATATCCGCCCGTCGGGACGGAGTACCCAAAAGCCGAGCTATATGCGTACTTGCCGTACTTGCTTTCCGCAGCTCTCATCGGGTAGTGGCACATCTGTCCTGAAGAGAGGAGGAACGTATGCCCACCTCTCTTCACCATGATGTGCAAGGGATGCTCGAGCGGTAAGACTGGTGGTATCGAGTCAGAGGGATATGCTTGCTCTTCGCTCTGCCAGAAGGGATGTGATTCGGGTAGAGCCAAGGCTGCGAAGGACAGCATGAACCAATACGTCGAGCCCGGGGAGTTGTAGTTCTCGGATATGAATTGATTAGGATAGCCGTAGCCGATGGTCAAGATACCTGATCCGTTCAGGATGTCCTTTTGGTGAGACCAGTAACGGAGGTTGCGCAGGAGGACGCCTTTCACCACCCCCCAACCCAGGGGCGCCTCGAGGTCCAAATCTGCAAACGCCACCGCGGCCCAGAAGCCGGCCATGGCAAATCGATACGTGAGTGAGCGCCCGAACGTTATGGCGCGACCTATCATGGTCAGGAGATGGATGGGCTAGAGGCCGGGTCATCTTACCTTGCTCGTCGAAGTAATGCAGGAAATCCTTCGCGTACATTCTGGCTCGACTCTTGTACTCTTCCGCCCGCTTGGGGTCTTTGTCGCCGTTGATTTTCGCATACAAGAGCTGCAGATACTGGATGGCAAATGAGCCCGAGTAGTAATCCATCTGAAGCGCATCGCGGGGCCCGTCGTTACTCCAGCCGCCAGAACGATGGAAAGTATCCAGATGGTCGAGATCAGCCTCGAGTCGCTCAGCGTCGTACGCAGCGCCGTTCTTCATCAACGCCAGGTTGGCAAAGACACGAAACCACAGCCAGTTCGTGTTTGGCATTTCCTTCTTGTTGATGTCCAGCCACACACGAACATTCTCGCGCTCCCTTTCCGTCAACGGATCCCACAACTGCTTGGGCGCAACACAGAGCGCAAAGCCGAGGGGACACATTTCCACCATCCGCTGATCCAAATCCTTGGACCAACCCCAGAATTCGGGGTGATCAGGGTCCGTCCCATTGCGTATGCCCTCTAACCAGAATTCGGCACCTTCGAACGACTCACCACCAGCAAGCAAGGCTCCAAGACCCCACATGGGCCTGGTAAAGCCTTCGAGCTGAGCACCGGCTTCATCATATCGGGTTGCGGTGGCACCGAGGCGCAGTCTGGTCTTGCCCGGCGAGAAGAAAGGCAGCAAGGGGTTCAATAATGACTTGCACGCATCCACGACTTGGGCACGGGTGGTGAGAGGGCTGTTCAAGGATGTAAAGTAGGGAGAAGACCGGGAAGTAGACATGACGGCGGTAGCGAATGAGAACAGACGACGTCGCTCGTTCCGTCTTGCTCCTGCGCTTATGCGGCCGATAGAGGAAGCATAGATTGTTTTCACTCAAAGGACACGACGCAGCTCAATCGCTATTGTATCGGTGATATCGTGCGATGAATGAAAATGAAAAGCGATGGGTATGACGTCCTTCATGAACTCACCCTCTCTGGCTCTCCTTCTGCTGGAGTGCTTCTGCCCTTTGTGGACCCAGACTCGAATTTAGCCGTGAACAAATCAGGCAAGGCGGCGGCAATAGGACGCTCAAGCCGCTAATTGAATGAATGGCAGTGTATCGACCTGGATGTGGGTAACGGGAAAGTGACGGGAGAGTGACGGGAGAGTGACGGGAGAGTGACGAGAAAGTGAGAGCGAACGCGTCCGCGGGGTTTCATCGCCGCTACGAGCTTGGAGACGGCCATTTCTCCGAGCTGCTGTTTTGTATCGAGCTGACACTGGCATTTATCTGGATGAGTTCTTTCGACACGATCTGGCCTGGCAATGCGACTGCACACGAAGACGGATTTCGTTGGGAGATCAGTCAATCGTAATCTGCTTGTTTCCGCCTTCAAGCGTCATGCAGCTTCCACACATTCCATCTGATCATCGCGGCAAATCGAGACTCTACCTTGTAGCCCTCCATCAAAACCCGCCGCTCATGATGCTCGTTATATATCGTAGTGCACGGAATCGCTACGGAAGCAACAACCTATGCTTTGTAAACTCCTCGCTAAATTCATTTTACCCTACCAGGCACACTCATCAAGTACCTATTCATTCCCTTTGTAGATAAAAGTCGTCCACACTGCTTGCAACGCCCCCAGACCCGGCGGGGAAGAAGATCTTTTTCAGAACCATCAGACACAAGGCCAGAAAGACGCCCGCGATCGCCCGGTCGATGGTGATGGTCTGCTCGCGATCACGGTCTCGCTGAAGCGTCAGGGGCCGGGCGTTCTGTGCGATCGCGGCATTAGCTGCTGCGAGCGGGGCGTTGTGAAGACCGGAAAAGAGAGGTCTTCTGTGTGTCGCGGTGCCAGAGGAGGCGTTGGGCGGTTGTGCGAGGTCACCGGGAGTGAGAACCGCTTCGGCGGACGCTTGAGCTGCTTCCGCCGAAGGCGTAGGAACATGCTGGAAGGGCGACTGCGAGGGAAGCTGTAGCGATGACGAGGACCCAGTCTGCGATGTGGATTGCGGTGCTGTCTGAGGATAGGAGGAGGATGGTGGTGAAGAGGATACTGTAGCCGCCGTGGGATTCGAAACGGTGTCCGGTGGCCGCTGTGCTTGTTGTACCGTCTCCTGTGGCCGCACTTGTGGTTCGCCCCCGCCCTGCGTCGCTCTCTGTGCATTGGGATCTCTCGTCTCAAGCGACATGCCTTCTGGCAACGACTCTAGATCGAGATCCTCCTCTCCCTTCATGTCTACCCCGGCAGACTTGCAGATATCCCACCACTCGCGCATGATCGTCTCGTTGCTCTTCCCGCATGCTTCGCACTTCCAGCTGCGACTCTCCTTCGCAAGTCTCTTTCTGATGTCGGCGGGCGCTTCCAAGCCACCAACCTGCCCGGCTGAACCCTTCTCCGCCATGAAAGATCGGAGAGCCGTCAACGCGGTGCGCACGCCCCATGCTGGCATCCACGTCTCCTCGTGGAAACCGGATATGCTCAGACAGATCTCTCGGTTCACTTCAAAGCGTCCCGAGGGGGTGAGGAAGCGGAAGTTTGGGGGCTTCAGAGGGTATGTTGGTGGAAGGCTAATGCGCCCGTGGTACATGCCCCCTGCGTAAGGTGAGGGTGAAGGGGGTCCGAGCAAAGTGAAATGCCATTCATGTAGGTCGGCGTCCGAGACCGGCGCGGCGAAGAAGGCTGGGTTTGGATTGGACGAAGGGGATGATAATTCGGCGGTCTCTTTGAGGAGACGTCGGATCGTAGGACTGGGAGCCATGCTCGGAAGCAGTGGGACTTGATTCCAGATGGGGTGAGGGGCCGATGTATTAGAGCAGGGTCATGAGCAAGGCGAAGACGACGAGGAGAGGACAGAAATCAACGAGTCGGAGGAAGAAATGGTGGCACTGGCGACAAACACTGCGTGAGGAAGGGTTGAGGATAGCAAACAGCGTTCGAGGTGTGTATGATTGTCAACGTGGCATCAAGACAGTGCTAATCCGCACAGCCTTGTGCCCTCCCAGCCTCTCTAAACTTCTCCGCGAGGCTGCGTTGTAAATAGTAGTGCGATTGCGTCATTCGCCGCTCTAAAGTCATTCTCAGGCTAGCCCTTCACAGGGGGGGGGGGGGGAAGGGCTATCGCGAATCGAAGCGAGCGGAGATGAGTTGTACACAGTATTATTTCTAATTGCCCTGCTGGAGTTGGCCCGACTAGCAGGTCCTTGCGCTGTCGGATAGCGTTCCTACGTACATCACATCAAGTGTTGATCGGAAGAGCCAAGTGTGTCTCCTTTTTTCACTAATCTGCTGAAGCCAACGCCGCGAGGGCAGCCCATCCTCGAGCACCCATATTACGAGTGTGACTGCCTAGCACCTCGATCGCCCGGAGAAGAGGATGATGAGGATCATGTTCCCTGCTGGTAAGAAAGAAATCCAAGACTTTTCGAATGAATCGCCTGTGTCGCCAATCTTTGAGGGTCGATTTCACCAGCAGAGCTGTCTTCGGGTCGTTTTCCAGCTGCGATAAGACTTCGAGATACCTCGACTCAAGAACATGTGACCATGAATGCAATTCCTGCTGGAGCATCGGTTGTCCACAATTGGCGAACTTGTTACCAATGTCGAAGATCTCTCTCAGATGCCCAAGCCATTGAAACCAAGTCTTGACATCCATGTGAGCGACGGTGTGATCCAACAACGTCTCCTCCCGTTGCTCCATCATGGATAGCAAGACGCCTTTCCAAAATCCTCGTTGGTGATATTGCAGGAATCGCCGTGAGCAGATCAACTTGGCAAGGTGCGTGCAGGCCTTTTCGGTGCCGCTGGATATGATGGTGTCAAGATCCCTCAAATGGTCGTCTTCCATGTCCCGGATAAGCACCAGACACTGGCTCCGGTCAGACTGTGGGAGACTCGGGGATGACATGATCGCCAAGGCAAGACTTCGCCGTGGGATGTGAGGACGCTCTTGCCAGTGCCACAGTAGCTCCACGAGAACGGCCTGTGAGTCATGATCAAGTGTGCCACGACCGGTGAGGCGGATCAGGCAGTGTTGATCCAGTTGCGTCTCGAGAGCAGAGTCCACTCTCCCTCTCACGACTTCGGCTCGAAGCGCAAACAGGGCTTCGATCTCGACGGTTGACGGCCAGTTACTGAGCAGTAGCTGTGTTTGATGATCGAGGGTGCGTGATAGGCTAGGCACGTTCGTTATTGTCTGTCCGAGAGCTTGCAATCGGAGGGCAGTGGGGTGGGGGTTGCGGCGATCATCCTTCTCCATAAGATCATGAAGCCTCATCTGCAAGTCGTTGAGGTCCTCTTGAATGATGTCTCTAATATAGCCGTTCAGGCAGTCGATGAGGGTGTGGTCGCCGCTGGCATGCACCGTCGTCAACAAGTCCATCAGCGCAGTCGTTCGTCCGGGGCTCGTAGACGAATAGAAGATGTCTGAGAGCGACTTATACACCCGAGCTTCCTTCAGTGCTACAGCCTCTTCGAGAATGCGCAGGGTGTTGAGGTTAACCTGGTTGCGCAGGCAGAGGAATACGAAGCTGTCCACCGCTCCAGCCATCGACAAACGCGAGCCTGAAGGAAAGTCCAGGACGCCATTCAGGAACGTGCGGCTATCCATGCTGGCGTCGATACTTAGCCATGCGAAAAACCGCCCATGACGAACATAGGCCCTGCGGTGTTTTCGAGCGTCATTTAGCAGTGCCTTCAGAGCTGAACAATGCCTTTCATACACGAAATCTGGGCCATCTAAAAGGAGGACATCGCGAAGCTCCGTTTTGTGCTCCACGCTGAGTTTTTCCTGGCCGTAGATGCGATGCTTGACAGGCCGCCATAGACACCAGGCTCGCGCGTTCCTGAGACTGCTCTTGAGTAACGTGTCGAGTGTTGGGGAGATACCGAACATGCTGGGCAGCCCGCGGACGGCTCTGTGAGCACCCGCCCAATCGCACCGATCTCTCAGCGCTTCCACCTGGGCCGCGAATGTTCCACACATGCGAGTAAGCAGTGAATCCAAAGTGTGAGGTGGAAACAAGTCGAACAGCAGGACGGGATCCGCCACCGAAAAGAAGTCCCGGGCATGGCCAAGAAAGGTGCTGCACTTCTTCTCAAGCATGAGGATCAGGGCCCGCGCGCGCTTTGCCTCGGCTTGTGACACGGCGCCATTGTTGATACAGTGCACCGAAGCAATGAGTCCCAAGTACTTCGAGGCACAGGCGTCGTTGTCGAGGTCAAAGTTCAGCTCAATGGGAGTGGCAAGCACAGACCGTATGGTCGGTCGGGAGAGCGCATGGGCGCACGACAGGAGCGCAACAGCTTTGTCGGAATGGCGCCTAATCAAAGCATTCAAGCGATCTTCTTGACTGGTCAGAGTGAAGGACCAGCTCCTTTTCCTCAGGAAAACGTCGGTTGGACGCTTAAGCCTATCCAGAATCGCCGACCTGTTCTCTTCGTCGGTGTCTAGAGCTAGTCGGTCAAGCGAAGTCGTGATCTTGTCGAGGTCTGCGTGCCATTGATCCTGATCACGTCCCATGCTTTGGAGACGGGCTTCGGCTCCCTTGAATGGCCAACCATATGACAGAGATGGAGCCGCACGATGCCTGCCAACCGTTGTTCATGGTTCGAAGCGTGTGTGTATTTGGTTGCTGCCACACTCAGAGTACGGTCGTCAATATCTGGGTATGGTCTGTTCTGAGCCCAAGGGAGTCTCGTTGATTGTCCAGACGAATCTCTGCTGTCCTATCCTCCATCACAACAAGCTGCCCATGAGAAAGCAAGGAGCCCGGGGGAGACTCTGTCCCTCCGTGTGAGCGCCCGGAATCTGACAGGTCATAGAGTGATGCACTCTAGCGGACTTTCTTGTGAGGAAGCAGTCGAAGTCCCTGACGCCACAGACATTGTCAGCCCAATGCGGGAGCGAGATCCCTGAACGGCTAGAGCTGCTTCATAGCAATAGTGTAGCTTGGGAGAGGCGGTCAGGAGGCATTGAATCAGCGTCGAAACTCTGTTGGGCGTGGGCAGGCCCCAACTCAGGCTGGTGGAAGCGGCAATGTGAAACGACACAAAGTGGCCAGACCCATGAGGCTGATGACCATGTCAAGGAGGATATGGCCACTGGAGTCGGCCTTGCTCGCTTGGACGACCAGACGCCTCTCTGGCAGTGACTGTGCTACCGTAGCTTGACTTGACCATGGTGCTATGCTGTACCAGCATCCACGATCCCCAGAGGTCAGGCAACAACGCCATCAGACAAACACGAGGTCACTCTCATATTGGCTTGTGGCGATGTGATAGACCCGTCTCATCAGCTCCGCCAGCACAGCACATGCGGGAAGGCCAACGTCCATTGGAAGGGAGAGGCGATTCGAGGCCCCTTCCACGGCTCACATCAGGCTGGATGGATAAGTGTGACGCCTGGTTTCTGAGGCATGAGGCGTGAGGTGAGAGAAACGCCAACACGAAAGATCCAATTTGCAATAATGATTTTGTCAGACTGTGTCGTGATGCATCCCGGCCATGGGTCTAATCCCCGGTGTACGGAGTACTGCCACTCTGAACCCTCGGCGTTCATATAGAGCACCTTGTTTCACCGACATGGCCATGGCTATGGTGATGCCCATGGCCACGGGCGTCGGACATGTCGAGCCTCAAGCACGGGCAAGCAAGGCGCGCGCTGCAAAGGTTCCGCACAGCTTGGTTCAGCCGGCCGCTCGCAAGCCACCCATGTGCTCCTCCCATCGAGCAGGGGCAGAGGATTGCCTTGAACGCGACACACTAAACAGACATTGAGGCCTTCACGGGGCGTACCGTCGACTCCGTACGACACGGTCAAGACGGCTGCTGAGGCCCATGCTTGAGAGTTGCTCGCGAGTCCAGCCATGTACTGTAGCCGGATCCTCACCTCAAGCTGGGCAGAGCACGTGTGTCCGTGCAGCACAGCTTGCTTTTTACGGCAGACGTCTTCCTGTTTGCTCGGGTCGAGTCCTGAGCCAAAGTCAACCAGGCCAGATCACAGAGCTGTCTGGTCAGCTCACCGCACCACTGTTGCCAGTCAAAGGACGCGACCATGGTACTGTTCGATCCCGCAGACACGGCCCTCGCAGCCGTGGTGAGGTCCATCAATGCCACAACTCCAGCCTGGCGCCTGGGACCGCTCAACGCATCCTGGGTCGTCGTCACCGACAGCATCCCTCCCGGCAGCGACGTCAACGGGCATAACTACTCCGACTCGCACAGCGACATAGGCGGCACGATCGTCGTGCAGAGGAAGGTGACCAACAGCGTGGGATCCCTCCCGCTCAATTCATTCGTCTACCTGATGATCTCGGCCTTTGTAATTATCGTCCTCATCGCCCTGCCCAACTGCAAATACATCGCAAGGCTGCTCCTCGGGAAGGACACGCGCTTCGACACCGACTGCCCCCATTCCGCCACCGGCATCAGCGAGTTTACGTTCAACCGAATGATCTGCGGGTTCTATCCACCTGAGCCGAGACACGAGCCGCTGCCCTCATATCTCGAGGCGTTGGATTACGTGCCCGGCAGGGAGGTCCGGTCCAGCGACGTCCGCGAGTGTCAGAGCATGATCCGGCGGGTATATTTGTTGAAGGTCAAGGTCTTTAATGCCGGCAATGTCCATCCCGCGAACCTAGGTATCGTCGATGACTGGAGGCTCCAGGCGAAGGCAGGCTTGAGCGATATCAGGATCCTGGCGGACAGTTGGGCCCAACGGCACGACTGGTCCCCCGAGGAGAAGATGAAGGTCGCTCAGATTCGACAGAGGATCATGGCCATTCAAACCGGATGACCGATGGATGAGTGATGGAGTTGGAGAAAGATCAAGCTGGTATGCTGCTGCAATTCCCAATGGACTCATCGTACATGTGCCCGTTGATGTCTGGGCTCGCGATTCCAGCAACTGGTCTGATAGGCGAAGGGTTGTTGCTAGGGACTAATGGCCATAATATAGAAGCTACCGTAAACTATTGCCTCTGTCTTTCCTGGAATACTCGTACCCGCTCAATCAAAGACCATATCCGGCCGTGTTGCACCTGCCAGTCACTGGCATTCAATTATGGTCTTCCTTGTCTGAGGCTATCGGGACTGATCATCTGTCATTTACGCCACCAGCCGAGCGATGGCTTATATCTAAACCTCCCTTGCCACCCTCGTACACCTGAGGTCTCCATACCTCGTATGCAACTCCGTCACATAAGCTCTGTACCTTTCGTCCAGCATCCTGAGAGCTTGGACATCCAACCTTCTCCGATCTTCTACGATGTCACCGCGGAAGGCCGCACTCGGATTCCGCCTCAAGTCCCGGATCAAGTCTGCCATTGGCGGTGGTTTCTCGAGATCGTTGGTTCTGGTGCGCAGCTGCTCGACGATATGGGCTCGACACGCAGCCGTCATATCCGCGAGTAGTGGGCGCAGGTGCGGCGGGAGGCCCGCCCTGTTGCCACTGAGCTGCTTGTTGTTGCTTTTCCAATCAAAGGCAAGCAGGATCAAGGATGCGAGCAAGAAGAAATCGTAGATGGTATCGCGGGCTAGGCCGGTATTCTTGGCTGGAAGATGCTGGCCGAGCTGGTACTTGAGCACGAATACCATCTCGGAAGTGCACCATATCCACAAGCTCAACGCCGCCCAGAAGAGCCTGTGAGTGATCTGTAGGCAGTGGAAGCAGTTAGCGTACTGGAATATGAAAGCGAGTGGAGGGCGCGTACAGCTGTGAGCTTGCCGTGTGCTTGATGGATCATCCACGCATTGATTCCAGCAAAAACCGTGGCGATCAACCCCATGCAAAATTGAATGCAGTGAAAGGCGGCTTCAAGCTTCCTTTGTGGCCAGGCGAAGCTGTTGCGTGTCTTCTCGTCCGCGAGCTGAAGCCAGACGATCTGTCTGGCGATGAGACTCCCGAGGGAGTACATTGCTGTGACGAGAAGTGCCAGGATGAGGACCTCGCCCAGAACCAGCGCGACCTTGGCCTTCCGCGTCTGCTGTTGGAGGTGGAGGACAACGATACGGTAGGTTGTCGCAACAAGAAACCCTTCGCCGCAGAGTTTTAGTGCCAATATGGGCACGTCGATGAAGAAGTAGTTGTACGGCACCGAGATACGGGCTTCGTGCAGGAACAGGTCGATGATCGTGACCACGTACCAGAGAATCAGCGCGCTGATGCCGATTAGGAGACCTCTTGCCGACTGTGGGTTCACGTCGAAGATCTGCCTGGGACCTCTGGTCACGACCCATAGAGAAATAATCGCGCCCAAGGAGACGATGTCCGCCACGATCTGGCCCAGCGTGTATTTGTCCTTGAAGAGCGAGCCGGCCAAACGGGTCGAGAGCCACGAGAGAGACGAGACAATCTTTCCATCAGACATCCTGTTGACTTGTGTCGCCGTTGCGTCCCGTACGTCGAGGAATCTGGCGGTCCTCGACCTGGACGAGGGGTTTATCCAAGTCGACGATGAGACGCGGCTCTTGCAACGTTGAATGCAATGTAGCACCCTGGACAGGCTGAATGAGGTTGCCTTCCCTCCTTGGCGTGATGTGAACCACCTGCTTGCAGCCGGGCGCTGGAAATTTGAAGGCTACATGTGCTCCTCGGTGGCCATCGCATTCGCCTTGCATCAGGCGGTTTTGGCGCCCATTCCAAAAGGCTGCTGCCTGTGGCTCCAGGAGCACAAGGTGTGAGCTGATCAGCGAAGACGGTGGTTATTGGCTAGAGCATCAGGCTGATCCTTTGACATCACGTCCTTTGAGACTGTGGTGGGCAAATGCCCCGGCGCGTTTTGGGGCAATAGTGCTCGGACTGGTCGGTTCCACCCTGTTGCGTGGTGGCGTTTTCGTGGCTTTTCCATGCGCTGGTCTCAGCTATCCCGTATTCCCAAGGCGCCAGATGCTCGCCTTGTCTATTCTTGCCGTGTCTGGCATGAAGAAGCCGCATGGATGGATGGAGAGTATCAAAAGGGATCAACAAGCCCGTCGTCCGGCGCTACTGGACGGTGACGGTGTTTCCGGCGCGAGTCTCACTGCTGTGGCTTTCGAAGTCCGCCACGAACCTCGCTTCGCCCCGTCGACGAGTGTCGCCAGATTTTGGTCCGGCTGATGTGTTCTGATGACTGCCTCCGCATTGGAAAGCTCGCGCAGACGCTCTCAACCGAGAATACCAGCCACTACGGAAACACAAATGGCCTGTCTCGATTCTTCACAAGGTATCCGGCTTGCTTTCGTACTGTCTGTCCAAGAATATCGCATTTATTTGGTCACAGAGGGCTTCAGATGAGGGCCGGTCGTTCTATGAATTGTAGCTTTTTACTTCGAGTCGAGATGTCATTTCCCCCCCGGAGCTAGATCCTGGAAGCGAGGCTCTCACACATATGGAAACGTCGCCCTGGCCAGTTCGGTTTCTCCGAAAGTGACCCAGAAATGGACGTCGGCTTGGACGAGCAGGTGAAAGGTCAGATTGGCTTGGTAGTACCAATTTCTGCCATTCGACATCCTCATTCTGTCGAATTCCCTTTCGGGAATATCGCTAAGATCATAGCGTAGTCTCGCCACCTCGTTCATCTCTGGTTCGTCGTTAGAATCATCTTGGAGTGGGGCGATATTGCATGACGGAAATCCTACCATTATGAAGATGTCCCTCGGGCACCTCGTCATCGTCGTTTGCCAGCAACGCCGTTGTAAAGAATCTGTCGTCGTTGATGCCGAATCTGCGACAAATCTGAATAGATGAGTAGTTACCTTTGTTGGACAGAATGAGGTCTCCGCGCTTGATGAGCCAGATCATCTGATTCCCAGCTTTGGTATTGCCATCGAACGGGTCTTGATACGTGGTTCTTCTTGCAGAATGCTTGAAGGCTGAGTATTGCTGGGAAACTCTCATGCCGTAATTCCTTAGGCATGCACGCATGTACACGAATCGCGATGTATCATGTTGAAGACCGTATAACACGGCGCCTCGAGCAACAGCAGCCCAACACTCATTCCTGGAAGAGACAATGTCAGTAGGTCGATGGCGGACTATACTAGAGTGCGTACTCATCCACGGGTCTCCTTGTGTGGATGTTCCTGGTTCTGTATATCTCATGCTTGATCTGATTGTACAGATAGTCTGAGCGAGCGAAGCCGCCAGACAGAGTGACCAACTATGAAAGTTTTAGCAGACAGTCACACCCGTATACGCTTCAGAGCACCGGACAGGATGCATACCTTAACTCCCCAGCCCAGACACTCTACTTGGCCAATCTGACCAGTAATCAGTTCAATGGTGCTGTCAATCGAGAACTTGAACGCTTCCTGGAGGTCACGTCTTCCAAAATCAATGTCTTATCCATGCTAGGGGCGAGTTTCGGGCACCTACCCTGTGATCCGTACCCGGCCATCGGTAACCCCACGCTCTGGGATTTCAAGATGATGCAGTCTCCGTGGCAGATAGAAGTCCTTCTCATGGTCGGCTTGACCCCTGTAACTCCTTTTCTCCATCTCCCAGTCCACCATAATCTCAGATAATTCAGGACTGCGGGCTGAGTGGCTCCCGATTGAAGTCTCGAGCGTTCCCCCAGCTAGAGCCTCATAGTTCTGCGCGCCAAGTTTGTTGAACAGTACCTGAAGGAAGCCTCGGTCGACGAATGTTGCTCCGGCCTTCTTGCCTAGAGGAAATTAGTCTTCCCTTTGCACCCGTCAGGCCTCCAGATGTATCTTACCTGCTCCGAGACAGATATCCTCCAATATCAGATCTGGTTCCACTTGTCTTATTCGGAACGAGCCCACATCCTGGTGTTGGTAAATCGATCAGAGCCTCCCAATACTGATAGACGTCCTTACCACCGTTCCTCCTCCGGCATCACAATGCACAATGCAGTCTCCCACCTGGTCAGAAAAGTCAGCATCCGGCTTGATAGGCATATTTCAAACAAATGTACTTTTACCGGAGCCGCGTCGTCTTCGTGCTGAATGGATTTCAGAACAAAGAGGACTGAAGCTTCAGGCTCGCTTGCCAATATAATCTCATTCAGTTTCGGGAAATATTTCTTGTCGAAGCCGGCACGAGTGATAGCCTGAAAAGTTTTGGCTTTCGCCGAGTCGGACCATTCCTGCGGATATTGTCAGCACCTCTGGACCAAGTGACAAAATCAGGCCCGCTTCGCTTACGATGGGACACGTCAACACAATATCGACTGGAGTGCGATGTAGTAAGTGAACCCCGATAGTACCATGATCACCCGTCAGTTCCTTTTCAACAAAGTGTGCACGGAGGCGAGACAAGTAATCAGTCACGATGCCCACGGGCTCCTTTGCTGGATACGAAGGCAGGCCTCGATTACCAACAATTGCGTTGAGGTTCAAATTCGCCATCCCGTCCAGAGCTTTCAATAACAAATCGAGTTCATCCAAGCGATGCTGTTCCTCAAGCTGGAGTTTGGTCCATATCATCTCGATCCCCGTTCTGCTAATTTCTGCACCCCATTGCGCTTCGTGACCATCCGCCGGTGAATATGAGATGATGCTCGGGACTTTAGGAGTGTTTGTTCTCGACCAAGACGTGACGTTGAGGATCTCTGCGCCGCGCTGGTCATCGTGCAAAGCATTGGCATTGATTCTGTGCTGGTCACGGCCAACCAGTGCGTATGAAATCCCTGCTTCATTCAGTATTTGACGCAGGCATGATGCGACCTCGGCCAACCTGAGTGCGTTGTCCCGTAGTCGAGACCGATAATGAGTCGATTCTCTGGGAGTGCCATCGCGGGTAGAACACACTGTAGGAGTCGATATTGACCGGTAACCTCAACCCGGGACAGAGGAGGTGTATGGTTAGTGTGGAATCAGTAGCCGACTTAAGGCGAAATGGACGTGAGATAGGCTCTAGGGATGCCAAAGCGGTGGATCACCCAGCGAGGGAACCCGAGGCTGAGAAAGATGATACGAAGCCCACTCGCTTCTGAACACTGTGTAAGTAAGGTGTGTACCAAAGAGACAACCAGACCGTCGGCCTCATTCGAAACTAGCGAGAAGGGGACAAAGAGTATTGGAATCCAACAGCCTAGCCTTTGACATTCGGTTGTAGGCTCGACGGTAGATGGCAGAAGTTTGCCGTATCCCCGTCACGGTGGGGACTGAGGCTCGCAATGGGCCCATGTTGCATGGGCAGATCCTTATCGCGGAAAGAAACTCCTTCTCTCGTAAAGGCTCTCTGCCCGGTTGGGCGCAGCCGCCTTTGCATAATGGCTACGGGGCTTGATGAGGTTGAGGAGGCTGTGTCGTGTTCACGTTCAAGTGACTGTAAAGCGAATGTGATGTGACGATTTAGCGCCGCCTTGGCGAGTTTGTGGCGTTCGTTGCCTTGTGTGAGTGGCGCACGTGATGCGCTGTCTTTACAAATTCAATATATTCTGCCTCCGACTACATGCATGTGAAGCCTCACCCAGCTCGCAAGCGAGTCCACCTTGTCGGCAAGTTGAGCTTGCAGCTATGGTCGCTCTCGTCCGAGATTGGCTACTTCTGCCAGGCGAAGGCGGTGTTCCGTTCTCGCAGAGTCTCGCCCGAAGCTTGCGGATTCCAGATTGAGCTTTCTCCAGTTCTTCTCGTGTCTCTTCTCCGGGCCCGAATTCGCAGCACCGGACATGGCTGCATGGGTCAGGCTGAGGGCGTGGTCGCGCTGCCCCATCCCCCGGGAATCTGTCTGATCCATAGTTGTTCTGTCTGCCCTTTGTGGTGCCCCCCACCACCGCCTCTGAGACCACTGACCGATGTGAAAAAGGACAAACGAGAGCAGTTGGTACTTTAGACCACAGAATTCGGCGAAGACACCATGTTCTGCTTTCGTGAAGAATCACACAAGCACCACGTTGGTCGAAAGTCGCGTGGACATGGCGGCAAAGACCCAGACCGGGTGGCCAGATTCTCACCTCACTTTCACCGCGGTAGACACGGGCATTCGACCGGGAAGAACGACGCTCCACCTCAGGATGCAGATGAAACACCACCTGGTGGCCGAACAAGTATTGCGAGTCGCAAGAGTCGGCTTGATACACGCTCAGTCCATGATGAACTCAAGGACGTTGAGGACCGGCTCTTCGAGTGGCTGACAGACCACAACTTGCCCGTTGATCAGTCACAGAATGCAGCAACTTTTCTGCTGAACAAGGTGTTTGCTTCTCATGGCTTCTTGCAGGAAACCAATCAACGACAAGTGGAGAAGTTACGGCAGAGAGACATCAGGCTCCAACGCTACGAAACCGCCGTAACCACCAGGGACGAGAAAATTTTAAGCCTCGAGCAGCATATCTATGCGGAGAGAGCCGCAGCTCAACATGAGAAGTCGCAACTTTACCAGGAATACCAGAACCAGCTACAATGGGAGCGGGCAAACACAGAGAGACTTATGGCCTCCCACGCAGAAGAGGTGGCAGATATGAACCGAAGACAGAGCGAGTGTGAAAAACAGCACAAGGCATTTGTCGATAGCCTCGTCTCCGATCATCAGAGCCGCATTCACTTATTGATACAAGAACACGAAACTGATAACAAGCGGCGCGATGACGAGTACAGCGCCAACATTGCCCGTGAGGAGGAAAAAGTCAAAGAAGCCGAAAGGGAAATGTGCTTGTCCGTCGACAATTTCCGGGGAATGCAGGATGCCGAGCTCGAGAAACGATTCTACAAGCTCACCACTGAGATCGAGGGTCTTTCACGCCTGACCTCAGCGCCTGATTTCGCGCAGCAAGCCGAGGCAATGGGCCTCAACATCCGTCCAGCATGCACCATTCCGCCTCAAGACCACAAATTCTTGTTCCAGAGTATCTTGTGGAAAATCGTCATAGATGGCACCTTCCTGACCCCGTTCCGGGTCTTTGGAGCGTATGGCGACCCCATCTACCAAACATGGAAAGCTCTATTTGGCGTCCGCGACCAAGCACTTCCAGAGTGGCCGGAACCAGATCCTCTTGCAGAGAAATGGCGCTACACGACCGTCGACCGGCTTAGGATCGCTCAGAACGCCCTGACCGGTTCCCATAGTCAGCGGCAGGAAATTCAGACAAGCTACCAAGACCGCATCTCGGCTCTTACCTCAGCACTCTCAGGTCTCTTTGCTTTTCCTTCCACCGCCAACAACAACTCGCCGAGCCTGGCTACCAGACTCGATGAGCTCCTAGACCAAGCCAGTGAGTTTGCCATCCTCATCGCAGTTCAACGATACCGGGTCCGCTTCTTCTTGCCTTCATCCCTCGGGCCTCGCAGTCAACTTGACCCCAAGTACGTCAAGGGCGTATACCCGGCCAGTGAACTGGAGTTCGCATACGCGAATGCGGAATTCGTAGTATCCCCCGGCCTGGTCAAGGAAGGGAACTCGAGGGGCGGGAAGCTGGAAGAGAAGGTCCCATTGATCAAGGCTGTAGTGTACTTCAATCCCGGGACCTAGTTAGTACATGGTACTGTAAATTGTCGTGCGTCCAGTTACTCAGGCTTCTTTGTTTCGACCCTCATCGTCTTGCATCATGGACTTTGCAATTCAATGTAAGGAGTACACAGTACTCCGTACATGTATCTTCATTGATAGCCTCCACTTTTCCACGCTCGGACAAACATGCATGCCTTAGATACCCCGGGGCGACGACGACGACGACCTCCCACGACCTCCCACGAACGACCTGTGAGCTAATTTAGTCCTCTTCGTCGAGTCGTAAGACGACAAAACCACGATAGAATTGCACGTCTCACGGACCTGGCCTTATCGCCGTGCCTTCACATACACGGGACGAGAACCCTTGTAGTAGTTCATAGTCCTCCGTACCGGCACGAATTATCTGCCCCAAAGACGATCAAGAGTGGTTGTATCGGCACACGGCTGCAACAAAAGCACCATGGCACGAGAAAGGGGTGGCGGGCGGCGGGTGTGATCCATGGCTGAGTCCGCGGCACTTCAGGGGCTCCAGCCTCGGTCGGAGGGGGGGCGCCGGTTCGTCTCAGGCCCCGGGCCTGGCCTCCGCTTCGGGCCACGTTCGCGCACGTTGAAGGGCCGTCGACAATGACAGGTGCCATCCGTACTCCCATACCCCATACAAGAAGACTACTTTGTGGCTGTGAATCAAAGACTCTGCGCAATACTTACTATTAACCAGTTCTGAAAAAAAGGGGTATCTACACAGCGTGATAGTCCCTTTTGGGTCCCCAGCCCATGCGATGCGGCAATAGTGAAATGTGATGAGTTTTCGATGGGCGTTCATACCGCCGCCAATCATGGTCGAGAAACGCATTCGTCTCAAGACGGTCTCAGCCTCACCGGCCGAGGGAGAAAGCCGTTTCACTCTAGCACATTCATGCCCCTGACTTCGAGATTTTCTTACAAGCGTGCTGGGGGTATATCATCGCAGTGTCGCTTCATGGGCACTCGTGTCTCTCTGTCCCATCTTCAACCCGTATTACCCTTCCCCCGTCCAAGGCTGCATTAGTATTCGTTGTGAGGCTGCGCCTTTCCCCCACGTCGTACTTCCATTTAGTCCTGTATACACCCGGGGAGATAAGATAATCTCAATCTTGCACAATGTGGTCACCCAGCCAAATCACTCGAACGGCTTCCAGCCATTCCGTGGCACTGTCGATAGGGTCAATAGCGTCGTCCGCCTCCAGTCAGAATTCGCTGTACTTGCCGCATTCCACGTCGAGCCCCGACACCAACTATAGTGACCGCGACAATGACGGCGAAAGCATCCTGTCCGCCTACCAGGATGAGAAACCACAGCCTCAACCTCCGCAACAGCTTCAACCCGTGGCCTTCAGCCTTGATGAGATGCCACTTTGGAACCCCAGGAAAAGGGCCCTTACCTTGAATTCCAGAGAGCATTTCATGGTGGCCGCGAAGCAGCACGACGCCGTCCACCAGACGCTCGAGATGCAGAGAAAACGCAGCGAGTCAGTTACCTCGGATGATACTCATGCTACCCTCGCTGAAGAGGAAGACGCCCACGACGTGGAAATGGACCTGAAGACCCCGACTGTCGCTCGGCACCGTCTCCCCACCGAAGAGGCCCGCAGTCTCGATACAGCCGGACCCATGTCGCACTTGCTACACTCCCTCCTCCTCCGCGTCGCCGATGTCGAACGTGCTCAACCCACCGTCATGGCCGACGACTACGCGACATTGCAAAAGCGCATGGCTGAGCTGGAACGAGAAAACCAAACGATTCTCAAGTCCCACAACGACCTCCTTGCCCTCCGCAACGACGATCTCATGAACCTGATCAAAGTCCGCGACCTGCTCGCCGAGGAGAGGCGCGAACACGCCGCCATCCGCAAACTCCGCGACGACGACCTCGAAAACGTGCTCGTGTTGCGGGAGAAATTGGCCAAAGCCACTTGGTCCGGAAAAATGCAGATCGCGATCTCGCAGCCTCAGGAGAGGCGGTCGTTCCTAGGTGGGGGTTCGATGACGCCGGTCCTCCCACACCGGATCTCGAGATCTGATTCAGATGACCTGTGGCAGCAGGCCAAGACGGCCGCGATGGAGCAGCGAGTCTTGGAGCTGGAGAAGGCCAATGCCAGTCTAAAAGCTGCCCAGCCTGCTGCCACCAGTAAAGCCCCGGAGAGCGATCAACTGATGAGTCGCGTGGAGAACATGTTCGAGGACAGCTTGAGGCAGAGGGAGAGGATGGCGACCAGAGTGCAGCAACTCAGGTCGGAGAAAGATGGACTTCAGAAGGAGCTCGCAAATTTAGAAGACCGGAACAGCGAGTTGGAAGCGCTTGTCGAGAGGCTGAAGAGAGGTGCGCATGTGGATGTGGGACACTGAAACGAGCAAGGAAAGGGCTCAGTGACGAACAATACAAGACAGCAACATGATTAAGCGTGGCGTTTGGGGGAACACACTTATGTTAGATATACCATATACCTTGACGGATTGAGGATTCCAGTAACAACCCACTGTAACATTAGACCCGACTTTGTCACGGCTGACCCGTCGTCGCTTCTCGCTCAAGGTTCTGAGAGCCGCAAGGATCAAACTTTCCACCGCTGGTGGGTTAGAAGCATATTTTGGTGTGCAGCTCGACTCGACGATGTATCAGGAGCTTTCGACGGTGATAAAAGTCATCAACAGACCCTTGCTGCCTTCCGCGGGAGAAACTTCATCCTTGACACTAGTCGATGGGCACACCGCTTGGTGATCGGCAGGGACCGAGCCTTCGTTCTTCGCGATGATAGGATCGAAGTGTCGCTCCGATGAACCTTGCCAGCTATTCCGTTGTAAACTTTGGAGACGTAATTGCGCAAGTGACTATCACCTAACTATGATCCGGATCGAGTTCGCATTCACGGGCATGTCGACATCTTCGCTCAGGCCCGAACTCGAGGAAGCTTCAATGCCATGTGTAAGGAATCGCACACTCTTTTACTCCCACATGCTTGAGATTCCGCAGTCGCACTCCGTTTCAGTGACTCTCTTGCTCAGCTTGCTTCAGGAAACCGCCTCCGGGAGGGGGAGAACAGCCGTGCCTTGTGGCCGGAATCACAATTTCGGAACAATAACAAAGTTGCGAGAAGGTTCAATGCGCCCCTCCGAGCCCCTCGCCTTCAGTTGTTTCATGGCTGATGTCAGGCGTTTGACAGCCAACCGAACAAGGCGCGTGATTTCGTGGGGCTTCTCGAAGAGCTTCGAATGGATAGAAAGGGATGGCACATAGCAAAGCAGGCGGGCGATGCGACACGACGGAGATTGTTGAACTCTCCAAGGTGAGGCCAGGGTGAAGCCAGGGTGAGGCCAGGGTGAGGCCAAGGTGAGGCTTCTCTGCAAAAGCAAGTGGGGTGGTGGGGTCCGTGGTAGCTTTCGCGGCAGGTGGGATTCCGACGGGCGCAAAGGACGCCGCGTCCGCTGGGCGACGTGTGGCTGCTGCGCTTTCCCAGTCCTGGCCGGAACAGCAAACTGTGCCGTGGGTTATCCCCTTCAGACTGGAACTAACGAGACAGCTAGGTCGACCAGGTTATCTGGCGAGCATCCGCGGTGGCCTTGACTCATTCAGGACTCCCAAGTGGCCCAGGGGAACTGCGTCGGCTCGCGACGAGGTGGGCTGCTGCAATGCATTGTTCGAAATGTGTTGACCGCCTTATTGCGAGCCATGGTGAGGGACGTGAGGCACAAAGATTGCAGGATAAGAAAAGAGAAGCGATGGACGATAGGTAGTTACCCAGTACAGCAACGTAGTCTGATGTTCGCAGTCGAGCAAATGCTTAACGAGGGGTTGCCTCGCGGGGCTCTACGAGGCCAAGGTCTCATGATAATTGTTCCTTGGTAAAGGTCGCAATTCCGTGCACTCACTAGAGATTGCAGTCGGATTCGCAAGCTTTGAGATACATCAAGCCTGATTCTTGTGCTTGACAACCCCAACTTGTAATGCCGTAGCAGCTGTTTGTCAAGGTCGATGACTCGTCGTAGGCTTGTCAGGAGAACTTGCTCTCATGAAACTTTTCTTTTGGGTTCAAATTGTTTCTGACGACAAGACCTGGCTCCGTTATCCACCCGGTCCACCACACTGGATGTGGGCTTGCACGAGGATGGTCCCCGGAAGATGGGAATTGCTTGCGCGGAAGGAGGGGTCGCATTTCCTAGCTCTGAGCATAAGAGTCCCGCAGCACCAGCAAATCGACACTATCGAGCGACTCTGTCTGACGGCGGCGCCGTCGTCGGACATGCAGAGAAACAAGAGCAGCCTCCGCTGTCAGACACAAACCGACCGGTTCAGGCGAGGTTTCCCGTTCTCTTTTGGGACCAGGGAGCTGCAAGCTGCATGGAAGAATGCAGGAACAGGAGTAGAGCGAGATTCTAAATGCTGACGATCCCACGTTGTTCTTACCCAACCCTCTGCTTGGTGCCACGATTGCCCTTTAACACGTCGAGCCCCGTGTTAGCAACGGATACATGGTTCTGATTCGGCCATGTGGCTTGCCTGCGTTCACCGCAGAGACATCGAAAGCAAGTAACTGCGTTTGTAGATGACCCAATGAAGGGTCAGCACAAATGGTCAAATCGCCGTGAGTGGGAGCTTCATCTTCGGGCGTCACGCTGCATCGAGGACCAACGGCGCGAACGTGGGTACGGTCCGAAGCTGTGTGACGGTGAGATTCGGGCATGGCTGGTGAATATGGAGGAGGCTGGGGAACAACTACGGGTAGTAGGGCAGTGTCACGTTCAAGACCAAGGATATCCTCCATCCAGTGCTGCGCTCTGTCGTGGTGATCAGTGGCCACCTTTCGTGATGACGATTGCAAGTCGGCGCCTGCTCTCAGGCATATCGCTCCCGCTGAAGTGTCCCGTGACGACGCATCGGACGGAGATGGCTCAACTTTGGTTCATTTCTTCGTGCCATCTACAGTATGTGTTCACGGTGATAGTCATGTGTAGACATGAGGAGCGAGCTCGTCCCAGAGCAG